TGAACATCATATTACGATGTTACCGAAAATACGTAGTATACAAAGTTTAAGCTCAATCGAACGCCAGGAAATGGTATCGTAATATGGTACTACATTATGGTACCCCTTGATATGCTTCATGGTACCATAATATTGTAATGCCATCAAAAATACACAAGTATAATCAAATATGAGCCCAATCGAACGTCAGGAAGTGGTATCGTAATATGGTACTATATTAAGGTACCACTTTATATGCATCATACTACCATCATATTACAATGTCACCGAAGATACTTACTATACCAAGTATAAGTCCAATCGCACGCCAGGCTTTATCAGGAAATATTACAATATAAATTACACAATGGCAACACTGCATAAAATTCTTTTAAATTTCGTTTGTAGAAAACTGTTTTCTTTTAAATTTATCGCCCTCTGTTATGTAGTAGTGAAACTACCACATCAAAATATCTGATTTGGAGACAGGCTTTTAAAGCCTGTCTCCTTTTGAGACCTACGATTTTATACATGTAACGAGGCTTCTGCTGCGTAGCTAGATATTCTGTGGATATAGGAAATGCCCTGCTTCACGAGCACTTTTTCTCAGATGAATATATGATTGTTTTGTCAATCTGCAATCTACATAAAGAGCCAAAGCCTCATCCCTGCTGTATTGTCGCACGTTTTTGTTTTCCTTTTCCCGTCTTAAAAGCTTGATCTGGGTTGAGCGATTTGGCGATGCCGAACTAATTTCCTTTATTAAATTGGCTGCATCTCTTTTTGCCATCACTTCTGAGAGCCACCTCAGTTGCAAACGTTAGTTCTTCAACACCGGAAGAAAGCAAATATTGAACTTTTTTTCTTTGATCGATATTTAACTTCTTCGAGATGGTTTCGGCAGTCGTCCGACGATCTCGGTTGTTCTGACACTGCACAATCATTAATAGTCATTTGAAAATTTAAATCATCCCCATCTAACAAGTCCGCATACTTTAAAAATAGTTCATTTTTTCTGCCCGACTTTTCCCATCTTTCTTTTAATTTTCTTTGAAAAATCGCAAACAATGACTTTCCACCGAGCCTGAGTTTCTTTGTGCTGTCCTCACTTGATAGTTTTCCATTAAAATTGTAAGCAAAGATTCATACGAATTTTTCTTTACAGACTGATGCCATATTTGAAAAAACGCTCTTCTAGAGACGTTAAACATGATTCCTAAAACAAGAAAAAAGAAACTGTTTCGCAAGTTTCCGCAAAAACTAAAATATATTGCCGAAAAGCTAATACTCCAGACTATTGAAAAATGCATTTTTCTTCTTGGCATTACTTGGCCTTTTACTATTTCTCATTTATAAAACCGAAAAATAATAGATTTTAATAATACTTACGATTATCACAACTCATTTCAGCTTAAACTTCGTAAACTTTTGATAAACTACGACCTGCTACTTGAAATGTCACTTTAAACAAGCTATTTATTTTGTTATTAGAGTTGTCATAGTGCTTGGCATGGCCTTCTATGTGAAAATATAGTTTAAACTTGTAATGTTTACGAAAAAAAAGCAAACAAATCGCATATTTTTTGAAAGTCGTCAGTTTGAACTTTGATAAATATTATCATTGTAATTTCTGATTATAATTAATTATTTTTCTTGATAGTTGTTAGTTATATTGTCAAAATAGACGAATTTTAAAGTGAATTATTACCACCTAGATATCGGTTTTAGCCCTTTGTGCGGTCGTGCCGCTCGCTCTCGCCGATACCCCTTCAGTGCGCGCGGAGCTTTATGGCACAGGCTGGACCGTTATTGACAGCGCGCTGAGTCGTAACCACCGTAATAACAAGGCCGCACAGCTTATTCGTGACGTCATCAACTGGAGGCCTAAACTTTGATTGCATTTGGTACGCTTTATACGTATATAATGGACATAAACTTTAATTGCATTTGGTACGCTTTATACGTATATAATGGACATAAACTTTAATTGCACCGAATTTGTAATAAATAATAATTAAACATAAAATTTAAAAAACATCAGATTGATATCCCGTCTCACATTATCCATCGTCATTGTATTTATTTATGCTGTAAGTTTGTCTAAGTTTTTTTTATTTCCTTTTCCAAGTCTATCATGTTTTTACAACAGTAGTTTTTCAGACGTGTATTTTTAATAGAATTTATGACAATTTTTACAATAACTTTGAGAGTTAGCGTTTGGAGAATATTTGATCTGAATAAACTTTTAATCTAAACAAAATTTAATTTGTTGGTTCCTGATTCACAGTATAGCTGTATCCACTATTAGTAATTATCTTATGCAAAACGAATTTTTTGTACATTTTTGTTTTTTTCTGTACCTAGAATTTTCTGATGTACAGGGTGGGTCAAATTCGACGCTTTTAAATGGAAACACCTTTTTCTGTAGGAGATAGACGAAAACTAATGTCGGTATCTGGAGCTCAATTTTTGTCAAAAACATGATAGTGAAAACCGCATATCGATTCTGTTACCGTTTCGGAGTTACGGAGTGTTTTTCAAAAATATGCACTTTTAACAAATCGCTGTAACTTTTTTGTTATGGAAAATTTTGTATTTTTATGAAAACATTTCCAAAGCACCTTTTTACGTAGAATTTAATGGTTTAAGTATAATTTTTTTAAAATTATTAATTTAAGAATTATCAACAGAAAATTTGATTTTTTATATGGGACACCCTGTGTATTTTTAATTTATTGAAAATAATTTAAAATTACATTTCTAAAAATATAACACACTTGATATTTTGTTCGATTCCTCTTCGAGATATAGAGTATATAAAAATTCGCCCGCTTTAAATGAGTAGGCTTTGAACGTCACCGGCTGTAATGCAAAAAAATCTAGCTGTGAGCATCAATTAATACGAAAATAATATTTGCTATGAGAGATGCAGAATTTTATAACTATTTAAAATATATTTAGTCAACATCAACACATTTAAACTATATCTAATAACAAGAAAAATAAATAGCAAACCAAGACATGAGATTTTGCTATAGGTGTTCGACATATCGACCGTCTTCTGTTATGGACAGACGGGGCAGTTTTTGAACATTTCTCGCGGAATTCATTAACTCAGTGGGGGTGAAAGATACCCTCTCATAACTGCTAAGTATTTCTAATTCTTGTCTAGATTATACGGAAGAATAAGGAACCTTTATTTTTCTGCAAATATATCGATAGGATTAGATCCATGGGCACTAAGTCAGGCGGCCTCGACGGCCAACGGCTGGAATCTTGGTTGGCTATTCAATTATTCTTGAAATTGGATGCAAAAATTTGCTGATAACTTCAGCGATCAGAGGCGGTGCGTCCTCTTGCTGGAAAAAAAATGTTTTCGAGTTCCATTAAGGGCATATCATCAATAAAAGTGGCAAACTTTTAAAAATTCTGTATTTCGAAGGGGATTATAACAAAATATCAAGTGTGCTATATTTTTGGAAAGGTAATTTTAAATTCTTTTCAGTTAATTAAAAATATAGAGGGTGTCTCAAATAAAAAATCAATTTTTCTGTTGATAACTCTTAAATTATTAATTTTAAAAAAAATATACTTAAACCATTAAATTCTAGGTAAAAAGATGCTTTGGAAATGTTTTTATAGAAATACAAAATTTTCGATAGCAAAAAAGTTACAGCGATTTGTTAAAAATGCACATTTTTGAAAAAACACCCCGTAGAATGTAGAATGTTTAGAAGGGGAGTTAATCACCGCGACCTTATAGATCTATTGTGTGTTCCCCTTTCTTGAGTTATAACGAGTTATAACTCGTCATACAGTCTCAGGGCTTTAAGAAAAGCCAGAATCTGAGACGGCTCCACAGAGGCCAGCTCTCCATCCTCGACATCAGACGTGCCAAGGTTCATGGCACGAATGGTCGTCGTCTCGGCATACTCAGTGATAAGGTGTTCTGGTGTTTCCCCATTTTCCCCACAAAATCTGCATTCGCCGTTGTTTCTCAGTTTCAGCGTACTGAGGTGTTCGTTGAGGAGACAGTGTCCTGTTAGAAACCCCGTGACAATCCGAAGATTGTTTTTACTTAAATCAAGGAAAACCTTTGATTTTTCTCGGTCATAAGTTCTAAGGACTTTTTCGAGTGTCTTAGACCGTTGGAGGACACCCATTCCAAGTTACCGATGGAGTCTTCCAGATTCTTCAGTTCCGCTTTCAGTTGGTTCCCGTTTGGAAAACAGAACGGTTCTGGTCCAATTAGTGGAGTGTTCGCTCCTTTTCTAGCTAGATAATTTGCTTTTTCATTTGCTTCTATCCCTTGGTGAGCAGGCACCCAGAGTAGGAGGACTTTATTTTCTTTGCCTAATTCGTTGAGCTTCTCCAGGCATTCTTTGACCAACTTCGAATTGATGGTTACTGAGTTGATCGCGTTAAGTGCTGCTTGACTATCGGATAGGATGGCAATTTCCTGTTTCGATAGTTCCTATCTAAGATAAATTGTACGCATCTTTCGATAGCGCGAATTTCTGCCTGAAGGATACTGGGGTAGGTGCCCATTGGTTCGGAGTATTCAGTTTTCGGCCCAAATACTCCTATCCCTGTCCCTGCTTTGGTTTTGGAAGCATCAGTATACCACGTGATGGTATGGTCTTTTATATGCTGAGTAAGCGTTTCTTTCTTCCAATCCTTTTTATTACTCAATACTACAGTGAGGTGTTTCTCAAAGTTGTAAATTCTTGGTATGTCATCCACTGGGAGTTGGAGAAGTGGAATTTTCTTTGTGAGGGTGTTCCAAGCCCCTGACCTGAAAATTTTCCCAGTACTGTTTCCGTCACTAAACACCCCGTAACTCCGAAACGGTAACAGATATTGATGTGCGGTTTTCACCATCATGTTTTTGATGAAAATCGAGATCCAGACACCGATATTAGTTTTCGTCTATCTCCTATAGAAAAGGGTGTTTCCATTTAAAAGCGTCGAATTTGACCCCCCTGTACATTTTGATTTTACCAGTGCTTTGTATTTTTTAGGTATAAATATAGATATTAGAAACATGACAGAACATAATGCTCCTCAGAATGTTGTCCCGCGCGAATTAGTTGAAAGTTTTATTTCATTGTCTTGTGAAGATTCCAGTGACAATGAAAATCTAAACAGTGTACGTCTTTATGTATTGCCTGCTATACTTTTAACATTGGGTAAGGAAAGCTGGCTTTTATTTAAAGAGACTGTACATACTCTGGCAGGTAATCTTAATCTATTTTGTCTTTCTGAGATATCTTACCTGATTGTTTTAGAACATGGGTGTGATGAACACAGATTGATCATTGCAAGTAGTTTACACGAATTGGCAGCAATTTTAGGACCAAAAATGGCCGACGATTTAGTTTTTCCATTTGAGATATTGTTCTCCCACATCTACACACCAAGTTTGATGAATATGCTAAGAGTAACTAAAAAAAAAGTTCAGTCTGTTGAATATGCTAAAATTTATTAATATTTTAGTGTCAAGATGTGCTAGTAGATAATCTAGCTCGGTTTTTTGAGTTTATTAGTCCCAAGGAAAGGCTTTACTTACTGCCCAAAGTATTTGAAGTTATTAATAGAAATATGAAAGTTGGTAAAACAGCGTTCTTATGGAAAATCAAGGAACAATTTTTAAGACAGTTATCATTAATGGTTAAATTTTTTACGCCCACTAAAATTGTACGCCATATTGGACCATATGTACAATTTTTTATGAGTGACCCTATGGCTTTTTTACGTACTGCAGCTGTAAAATCAGTAAGTTGATGTCTTTATGTTATTTCTTCCATACAGTTTAACTCCAATAGTTCGGACAGTCGCTAGTTCGGGCACTCCTGCAAACCGGACACTGCGATTATTCAGACATTTTGAAACATTTGCCCTTGAAATCCGGGTGCGGAATATTCATACGGGAAGTTCCAGAATTTACAGATCTGACCAAACAAAAACGTTTATTGGTATTTTGTTTGCGAACTCTGTTTATATTTTTGCATTTGGTTAGTTGATTTCTGATCACCGTATAGCCACGGCATATAAATCACACGGCAGGCCAACTCGCTTTGACGGGAACGCTACGCGCATATCCTAGCGCGCGCCGCCATTATGGGTGCCAGCAACAGAAATTAACCAGTGTCGTAGTCGGTCGTAGTCTTTGTCATCGAGATATACAGTTACGGCAGCTTTGAGTCAGTAGCGTGCGGCTTAATTTATTTCATTCTTTTTTTGAGTGATATTTTTTGTTTTTTTATTTTTGTTTATTGTGTGTGATATATTTGGTTTTTGTAGTTTAGTAGTACAATGGAAGTCCGAAATTCTTTTAGTTTTAATACTCAATCATTGCCTACGGCGTTCAAAGTAATTTTTATTATTAGGTATCCTGCAAAATGACAAACAAGATTCATTTCTAAATTACTGTTTTTCTGATTATCCGTATCTATTTTTAATTTTTATGGATAGCTCATGACAATTCAGAGAGAAAAGAACAGAGGTCTCGTTGTTTTTTATAATAATGTTACGGATTCCGACGTAAACAATAAGGTCTGCCGTTTTTAATAAGATTTTTGCCAGATTATTTTGGCAATTTTCTCTACCCGTGTGTAATATTCGGACACAACGTTTTTTAAATGTTCTTCTAAACTGGATGAATTTATCCTGGATGGGAATAATGATAGGTTTACAAGATATTGGAATTACAAGAATTACAGGAATTAGGAATTACAAGATAAAGTTGTCGTACCAGATTTTTATGAGTGCAACTATACACTCAAATTTCGCATCTCGCGACAAGCTTTTATATAATATAAAATTCTGTAATGACGTTATAAGTCCATAATAAAAGTTTTTTTTCTTTTTAATGTATTTAAATAAAACCTTGTTTTTAAGAAGTTCTTTTTCTTAAATTTATTTTTTACTTTTTAGTTATGCTGGTTTCTCAGAGCCACACACTTAAACTCAATTCTTTTTCTTAAATAACTTCCTATGGGCATCCTAATTAGTAGTGGGAACTATCGAAACATTCGATAGTTGCAATTCATTCGAATAATTCGATAGCTAGTAAGAAAACATTCGTTGAAAACTATTCGAATAAAAATATCGAATAGATGCGTCATCTGCCTTGAAATATATTAATTCGGCAGCAAAAACCATTCATTTATAAAATTCATTCATTTGTAAAATTCATTTATTCGTCAGGATCGATTATCATAAAATATAAACTGGATTTTAGTTATCGCCCGGCGACGTAGGTTTCTTTCTAGAAACCCGACAGCGGCGGCGGTCGGTGGCAATGGTATGAAAAAAGCCGGAAAATTTTTGATTTTGAGTCAGATAAAGATAAGGACACGTTATTTTTTTTATTGAGGTGCCAGTATTTACACAGAAAATACATTATGAACGGCGCTGTTGCCGTATATTCGTATTAGTTGGTATTAGCAAAGAATATTATTCTTGGGTATTATAGTTAGTTAGGGATAGTATGACCTGTGGTATGACTATATATTTTGCATTTTTTTTATTAATATGCTGTTGTTACACTGCAATAATAATTTTTATTTTGGATGTAGGAAAATGATTTTTAATGTTTTTAAGCAAAACTGGTTTAATAAATAATAATAACAGTAATAATTTATTATACCTATTAACACCAAAATTTAAAATCATTTAATATAAACATTTTTATAAGTAGTAGCAAAATATAAACAACAAATTAGAAGTCAAAGTTATTTATATTAGATCCTATTTAAAAATAATATAGTCTCTAAATTTTTTGGCAACGTTGGTTTATTAAATAATAATAATTACAGAACTAATTTGTTATATTAACAACAAATTTTAAAATCATGAAATATAAACATTTATTAATTTTCTAAGCATGCAGTGTAATAGAAGAAGAATATAAATAAAAAATTAGAAATCAAAATTATATATGTTTATTACTTTGTATTATTATTTAAAACTAATATTTGCTTTTACTGGCATTTACTTTAAAAAATAAATGAAATATTTCTTCGCAAAAATCTACATGTAAGAGAATTAGCATAAACAAAATACAAATATCGTTAACTTTTTTTTTTAAATTGGCACGTGTAAAACTTTAATCAATCAATTTAATTTTCTCACCCCAAAATTTGAGTTCGATAACCATTTACTTAACCACATTACCACATTACTTAAATATGATTATTAAGTTCAACTAATTCATATTACTAAAACCCCTAAAATACAAATACATATGTATTTTTAAGATTAATTGTAAGTTCACCTCATCCCTCTTAAAAATTGTTACTTCTCAAAATTTCCCATTAAAAAAATAGACCATATACCGTATAAAATTAAATAATTGAAAGATCGGAAAATCACACAAATTTTTGGAAAAATTTTGACCACCTGCACACGTACACAATCGTCAATTTAAAAAAAACACTACTACTTTAGTATTTTAAATATTTTAATAAACGCAAAAATAGCACAGTATTTAGAAGGCAAGTTATAAAAATTTGGAAGAACTAATAATGCACTGACGCAGACAAAAATCAAACGAATACTAAATTTCATTTATCTAAAGCATTCGATAGTCGTGGCTTAACGATAACCATTTAGTCGCACGGCGAGGTTGTCACATATGCTTTAGTATACAAATGAATGAATGATTTTATTCGAATGAAACCATTCGATAGTTGAAATCATTCATTCAGTAACCATTCGATAGTCTAATTCATTCGATAGTTCCCATCGCTAATCCTAATAATAATTTTTTAATTTGAACCAGGTCTCTTTGAGAAAAATGGATGCCGCCTTTAAATCCTAATAATATGTATATCGACTTTCATTAAAAAAGGAGAACTTAAAAAAAAACGACAGCTGTCAAATTTGACAGTTCAAATGTAAGACAAATAAAATGAAAACCGACTATGGGGTAGGGAGCATCCAATATATAGATTTTTATCAAAATCGAACAATTTTGAGATTTTTTTGACAGCTGTCAAATTTGACAGCTCAATTTTTTTTTCTTTCATTTTAGCCCATGGCCATCCTGTGTATCGATTTTTATCAAAATCGGACAACTTTGAAATTTTTTTGACAGCTGTCAGAAATTCGGGTCGTGCCTTGAAGAAAATGTATTGTCATCGGGACTGAACCTACATGCCAAATTTCAATTTCCTACAATGAAAGGAAGTGCTTCTAAAGATTTCCCCGAACAAACATACATACAAAGCAAGTTAAATAAAAGTTTGTAAAATAAGCTAGGGACTGCTTTCCATTGGTAGAGATACCTCTTACCATAACAACATTAGACACCCGAGTTGGTTTAAACTCTCTGTTCCCCTTCTGGTCCTCAAAACCTACAATATTATCACGACCACTATTATAAAATAAATTACACTTGATGATATTAATATTATATTATGATGAATATTAACAAAATTTGCTATGTCCATTGATGGACATAATTTGTACGTAGCCTCTTTAGATTGTTCAATAGATATTTTATTGGGTATTTCTTTAATTCTTGTTTGTAACTCCTGGCATGTTTTTTAATTTTAATTGTCTATTCTCTACAGTTAAATGGTTAATTGATTTTTTCATGGTTAATTTTCGAGGAGCATGCGCGGTTAACGATTCATTTGGTTAGATAACAGTATTGTGTAAATAAAATTCAGTTTCAGTCAATTACAGTATTTTTTTAATACCACCCTGTCTACCAATAGTTTATTTTCTGGGAAATTTTTTGATACGTTTTAATCCGGCCCTGACTCGGCACCCATAATGGTGTTTTCAAGGTCAACTTTTATAGAAATTTAAAACAATGGGATCTGGGCAGAGTTAGCCTGCCGTGTGATTTATATGCCGTGGTATAGCTGTATCCACTATTAGGGTGCGTTTATGTTGGAGCGGCGATAAACGATAAGAGCAGCGATCGTAGCGAAGCAAAGAATATTATTATATTAATTTATATGTAGGTGTTTATATTGCAGCAACGCGTCGAGACACGGTTGGCAGTTGCGCAACGATAAGAGCAGCGCTAATTCACTGCTTTTATCGTTTATCGCAGCTCCAACATAAACGTACCCTTAGTAATTATATTATGCAAGACGAATTTTTTGTACATGTTTGTTTTTTTCCTGTACCTAGAATTTTCTGATGTACAGGGTGGGTCAAATTCGACGCTTTTAAATGGAAACACCCTTTTCTATAGGAGACAAAAACTAATATCGGTGTCTGGAGCTCAATTTTTGTCAAAAACGTGATGGTGAAAACCGCATATCGATATCTGTTATCTGTTACCGTTTCGGAGTTACGGGGTGTTTTTCAAAAATATGCATTTTTAACAAATCGCTGTAACTTTTTTGTTAAATCGACATTAAATTTGCTCAAAACTAGTTCGAAAAGAAATCAAGCAAAATGTCAAATATGCGATATTTTTGGAAAGGTAGAAGTTATTTTCAATTAATTTAAAATATACAGTCCCATTTAAAAAATCAATTTTTCTATTGATAACTCGTGAATTATTCTAAAAAGGTGGATGGGAAATACAGTGGTGGCCAAAAGTATGGAAACTTTTTACTTTTTTAAAATATCACAGAAAATATTGCTATGCTTAAACTCTCAGGAATATAAATGAACAGCTTATCAGCAAATAAAACAATTCCAAAAATTACACAGCGAAAAAAATCTGTTTAGCAGTTTTTGTAGGAGAACGATAGATTTCTTGTGGCCAAAAGTATGGAAACCATAAATAAATACATTAAAATTATTTA